AAATTGATGCAAATGGACCCACATAAGGCATATCATCAGAAAGTTTCTGGACCCTGGGACAAAGAAGGTACATCAAATGTCTAGAAAGACAAAACAAGTCACAAGTAAGGCATCCGAAATCACATGGTTTCAATTTTCTTGACAGAATTATTGCAAGGTAGAATGCAATGACACTATATCTTTCAAAATTCTGAAAGAAAATTGTCTCTAACCTAGAATATTATAGTTAGCCAAACCATCAATCCAGTGTGAGGGAAAAGTGAAAAGAGATTTCTTTAAGAAAATTATGTTGACAGAATATCTTTTGTGTCAATGTAAAGAAGGGGGATTTAGATAGCTGGCAGAGAGCTTCATGGTTGAGTTAGTGATAAGCACATAGAAAATCATTATTTATTGACGATGCAAAGGCATTCAACTGTGTGGATCATAACAAATTATGGATAACACTGCGAAGAATGGAAATTCCATAACACTTAATTGTGCTCATGCAGAACCTGTACGTAGACTAAGAGGCAGTCAATCGAACAGAGCAAGGGGATACTGTGTGGTTTAAAGTCAGGAAAGGTGTGTGTCAGGGTTCTATCCTTTCATCATACTTATTCAATCTGTGGAGACCTGGTGGTGCAGTGGTTAAGAGCTATGGTGAGCTATGGCTGCTAACCAAAAGGTTGGCAATTCAAATCCACCAGCTGCTCCTTGGAAACCCTATGGTGCAGTTCTTTCCTGTTCTATAGGGTCACTAGGAGTCAGAATTCACTCAGGAGCAATAGGTTTGGGTTTTTTTGTTTGTTTCTTATTCAACCTGTATGCTAAGCAAATAATCCGAGAAGCTGGACTATATGAAGAAGAATGTAGCATTAGGATTGGAGAAAGACTCATTAACAATCTACAACACACAGATGTTACAACCTTGCTTGCTGAAAGTGAAGAGGACTTAAAGCACTCACTGATGAAAATCAATGATCACAGCCTTCTGTATGGATTGCACCTCAACAAAAATCCTCACAACTGGACCAATAAACAACATCATGATAAGTGGAGAAAAGATTGAAGTTGTCAAGAATTTCATTTTACTTGGATCCACAATCAACACTCATGGAAGCGGCAGTCAAGTAATCAAACAACATGTTGCAGAAGACCTCTTCAAAGTGTTAAAAAGCAAAGACGTGGCTTTGAGGACTAAGGTATGCCTGACCCAAGTCATGGTATTTACAATTGCTTCATATGCATGCAAAAACTGGACAATGAATAAGGAAGACCAAAGAAGAACTGACGCCTTTGAATTAGGGTGCTGGCGAAGAAAATTGAATATACCGTGGACTGCCAAAAGAACAAACAAATCTGTCTTGGAAGAAGTACAGCCAGAATGCTCCTTGGAAGCAAGGATGGCAAGACTTCATCTCATGTACTTTGGATATGTTATCAGAAGGGACCAGTCCCTGGAGAAGGACATTATGCTGGGTAAAGTAGAGGGTCAGCAAAAAAGAGGAAGACCCTCAATGAGTTAGATTGACACAGTTTCCACCAACAATGGGCTCAAGCGTAACAACAATTGTTGAGGATGGCGCAGAACCAGGCAGTGTTTCATTCTGTTGTACACAGGGTCACTGTGAGTTGGAACCTACTCAGTGGCACCTGACAATAACAACAACAACAGAGAAAACCAAGCAAATTGACAAAACAAGAGAGTTATCAATTCTTGGGAAAACGTCAAGTGCAGGAAAGGAAAAATAATCTTAGCATGCTGAAAGGATGCTTAATATAATATTTGTAGTCATAATAATGCAAACACTTAATATTGATCAAACCAAAAGGACCATATAACTATATTGTGAGAATGTCAGAATCAGTTGGTGTAGGCAAATGGTGAGGCTAGGAGGAAAGGTGATGGAAACCTCATCTTCCACATGGGAAGTCAAAGGCCTAAAACTGAAAAACCAAGAAGTAGATATAGAATCATGTCATTTGGTGACATGGAAGCAAATAGCAAAATAATCTCCTAAACAATTTGAAAGTTGTTATCCGCTCTTTAATTAAACCACCAAAAAAAGGAACATTGCCGGTCACATAGATTCAACTCATAACGGGCCCGAGGTGGTACAAACAGTTAAAAACTGGACTATTAACCAAAAGGTTGGTGGTTTGAACCCATCCAGAGGAGCCTCAGAATAAAGCCCTGGTGATCGGCTTCTAAAAGGCAGAAAACAGCCTTGAAAACCCTACGGAGCAGTTCTACTCTGTACGTATAGGGTCGCCACGAGTTTATAAAATAAGACGTTGTCTAATTGCTCTTTGTAAAGTGATAAGAGCTCGGCTGCTAACCAAACGGCTGGCAGTTCAAATCTACCAGCTGCTCCTTGGAAACTACGCAGCAGTTCTACTCTGTCCTGTAAGGTCTCTATGAGTTGGAATCAACTCAACAGCAACGGGTTTGGTTTGTTTTTGAGTTTAGAGCTTATACCAATTCATACTCCCCCAGTAATGTTTGAGAGTGCCTTTCCCCACACCCTTACTTTGTCAGTTCAGGTCCTTTAAGGTGCAGATGCCAAGTCAGAATTAGATGTACAAGAGTTTTACTGAAATAAATGCCTAGGAAAGATGAAGGGGAGGAGAGGAATAGGGAGAGCTTTCACTTCACAGTGCAGGTCTGACTCCCAATTCAAGAGAGAAGGAAGATTTGGGTAGGGAGGGCCTCAGACCACAGCACAGTTCTGAGAAAGTCCAGACCAGGTAAATGAGGAATCCCGGAGCAAAAGCTGCTCACTAGAGGAGTCTTGCATTGGGCAGGAGTAGACTAATTACAGCATCCCCACCATTCTCAGTCACGGGCTTGGAGAAGCCTTGAAGAAGTGTGGCCTCATGGTGTGCACTGCAATGGATCAGAAAGTATAGTAGTTGTCAGTCAACTGTGATCAACTGTGTCGACAAATATTTAGTGACTGGCTCTCCAGAAGGGTAAAAAAAAAAAGAACTCTTTATTCATAGCATTTGCTGCTTTCTGTGGTACAAATGCTCCCACTCTGGCCAATTTCAAGCTATCAATGTGGTGTCACTGAGCACTGAGTTTGAAAGAGATACTTTCCCAAGCTAGTAGCTGGCTCCCACATGCCACTGACTATTCCACACAGCAGGTTCTCTTGAAAGGAGATCTCAGCAGGGTACCTCGCTGGCCACCATAGTCACCAATCTGGAACATTATCAAAGTGTGATAACTGAAAAATGGTATTTCAGTATAATTTTATTTTGCATTTACCTTAATATAAGTGAGAGTAAGCCTCTATTAATATATTTATGCATTATTTTTAATGTATTTATTATTACATAATATACTTAATGTATTTTCTGGGAATTGAGCAAATCTTTTTGCTTATTTTTCTTCAAGTTTTTATGCCTATAGTCTAAATAAATGAAACGTGAATATATTAATCCATTTAGTAAGTAAAATATGTTGTTATTAACTGTCGTTTTGTTGGCCCTTGACTCATGGTGACCCCATGCACAATGGAACAAAATGCTGCCCGGTACTGCGCCATCCCCGTTATCGGTTGTGGATCAGACTGTTGTGATCCCTAGGCTTTTCACTGGCTGATTTTTGGAAGTACACCACGAGGCCCTTCTTCCTAGTCCATCCTAGTCTAGAAGCTCTGCTGAAGTCTGTTCAGCATCATAGGAACACACAAGTCTCCATCAACAGAGAGCGGTGGCTACACACGAGGTGCATTGCCTAGGAATCAAACCTGGGTTTCCCATGTGGAAGGTGAGAATTCTACCACTGATCTACCACTGACCTCATAAGTAAAATATACTGCTTATTGTCCAGTTATCATACAATCAGCATTTTCACTATTAACTCCTTTCAATCCTCTCCAGAGGGTAAATAGGAAAGAAATAAATGTACCTTTAAAAGCTTCATATGGGTGAAATCCAACATTAGAAAACAAATTATTGTAATTCCTTTTTGTCCATAATTTTTTAAGTAACAATTACCTAAGCAGTATCAACATAAAATGTCTACACTTAACTTTTCAGGAACTAAGACAAGAAAAAAATCATTGAAACTGATTGAATATAGAAATTTTATGGGGAAAAAACACTGGAGAAAAGTTTCAACCTACTGTTCAACACACAGAGTAACAACAACATCAGTGTAATGGAGAATTTTCCATCTGAAAATCTACAAGAACACAGCAGTCTTTAGGGAAATTAAGTTCGTAATATCATTACGAACACATTTTAATAATAGATTCTTTCTATATTGGCTCATTTATATTAATTGAGATTATTGGTTGCATCTTATTATCTTGGTCTAACAACTTGGAGACCATTCACTATTAAGTTAGAGGCTAAGAAGCTCTGGATGAAGTGGTCTTTTAAGGCATACACATTAAGTATTTCCAGTTGCACAGATATCTTTAAATGAGCAGAACTGTTAATTAGTCCAGACATCAGAGGTCATCCAATATAGCATACCCAAAAATGAACTCAGACAAAATTTAAAGCAAAAACTATAAGGAAGAAACCAAACGATGAAAATTCAAGAACTGCTCTTCTACAAAAGTTTTCTTTTATTTATGTGAACTCAAGCACTGCTACCACATCTACTGGAGAGGAAGAGTCGCAAGGCCCACCCACGGATACACTGAGTTTTAAAATGCTACAGTTTTTCAAATAAAATACACCTCATTCCATCATCTTCTAATCAGTTATCTAGTTTGTGAACTGTATTTGACTGCTTCTGCCTTTTTTCCCTCCACCCCCTCTAACCACAACCACCACTTCTCTTCTATTTTTCAAGTTATTAGCATTTTTCATCAGAAATCAAGAAAAAGAAATGGACACAAATTAATCAAATATGAGAATAATATATAGCAAGTGTTTAGTAGGGTGTAGGTTGAAAGTGGTGGCTAAAAAGAAGTTTGGTTTATCTGTAGACTCCTCTTATCTGAATGTTCTCAAAACATATGATCCACAGTAGTCCAAAAAAAAAAAAAAATGCTTACCTCATCCACATTTTCAAAGGCATTGATGATGTCATAAGGTAAACAAGACAGCAGATCAATCACAAACCAAGTCTTCAGATAGTTCATCCTTATGAGTTTGGGGTCAGAAATGACCTCACCACCGGGCCCCACAAAGGTTGTGTGAAAATTTAAAACAATGTCAACCAGAAAAATAACATCCACCACACTGTCCAGCACCAGCCAGGCTATGTTGTTCTGTTTCGTTTTGAAGGAAACGTTATAAGGAACCATAATGGCGGTGTAGAAGGTAAGAATTAAAATCACCCAATCCCAAGTCGTTTTAAAAGCACAATAATGTAAAATAATGTGTGGTGGCGTCTTTGGCGCTTCTTGCTTATACTGAGGAAGGATATCTGATCCCAGCTGAAGAACCTAAAAAAGAGAAAATACATATCTATAAATGACTTAGATATCACTGCAGAGTTAGTAATGAGATCAGACTTCTTGTTGTTGTTAGTTGCTAGTCTAGTTGATTCAAGCTCATGGTGACCCCATTTGTGCAGAATAGAACTGCTCCATAGGATTTTCAAGCCTGTGACCTTTCAGAAGCAGATCGCCAGGCCTATCTTCTGAGGTACCTCTGGGTAACTTCAAACTATCAACCATTTTGGCTAGGAGTCAAGCACTTAGCCATTTGCGCCACCTAGGGACTCCTAGATTAAACTTACTGACAGTCAAACCACAGCCTATTTATCATGATTCTTGGTTTCAAGGCCAGTCATGCTCCAGGACTTTGTCTTATTCTTCTCCTGCATTGTACCGAATTTTTTTCAAAGGAAGTTCCTCCATGTTCAATTGTTCTGTCGTAATGATCTGTCTGCTGGTCCATCTGGCTTACTTTCCAGCAGCCAGCATTGATTCCACAGCACTGCTGGACATCCGCTCCTTGGAATATCTTCTGCACACTCACTTTGCAAGCCTGCCTGCAGTCACACATCTCTCACTGAGTGTCCAACAGTTATTTGGGTCACTCACCCTTATCCATTTCTCACACATATTTAGCACCTCAGGAAGCATAACTTTGACTCTCAAAGTCTCACTGAACCCCAGGACCCCACTGTTGGTGATCTTGTTATTGAGTGGGACTTAGCATGGGGCCTGATGACTAGCACACAGATATAACAAGTTGTAAATGTTATACACTGCTTTTTCCTTTTCTCCTTTAAATCAGAACTTAAAGAATATTGCATTTCCTGCACAGATGCAAATTCCCTTTAGGGGAAAAAAAAAAGTTCTAAAGACTCAGTTCATGTCTCTATACCTTTTTGACAAATGCAAGAATTTCAGTGCAAGGTTATATGAAACTTGATTTATTCTGATTAGGTCTAATTAAGAGACAAAGAGAAAAAGCAAATGACATAACGAGCAGAAGTTTGGACAGCCCTGGGCAAAAGTAACGCAGGACTTTAGCGACTAGACTCTAGCTTCTGTTAGAGGGAAGGAACCTGGAAACAGTGAAAATGAGTTGAAGGACCCGGTCAGAGTCCTGGTATCAGGACTGCTCTATGGCATCAGTGAAGTTAAGACTGAGTAAACCTATGTGCCAAGCAGTTTGGTAAATGAGTGAGAATTTGTTAAATAATGTTTTCCAATAGCTTTGCCCATCTATGCATCCAATTACTCAGTGTCTTAGGGATTACGGGGATCAAGGAGGTAGAATTCAAAATATCTAAATCATAAAATCCGAAATACATTGATCAATTGAATGGAGGAATAGATATAAACAAAAATACCTATTAGCATGAGTCTCATCTACCACAAAGCAAAGCAATTATATTAGCATCTTTTGAAACTTGGGAAACAATTATCCTGAAAAGTCTCTCAAAAAAAGAACTGAAGTACATTAAAACTAAATTTATAATATGTTACTGGTATTCTCTTTAGTTGTACTATAATTATCGGTTTTAGTTCAATAATTATTAGAAATATTTATGAAGATTTTTATGCATTTACTCATATTATCAGTGCCCTAGCTATATTTTTCCCATTTGGTCTTAAATTACTTAGCAGCAAATTGTCCTACCAGGAATGTAAGCTTTATGTTGGGACAGGAGTATTGCGTATACAGAATCACATAACCATGGCTTCTCTCTCACATCTCAACCACTGGTTATCAGTTTCAATGTCACTGTGTTAGACATGAAAATTTCTTTTATTTCCAATGTTAGTGTTTTACCATCTATGTCTACATACTGTTTGAGCACAAAGAATTCAGACTTGGAAAATAAGAACAAACTCCTCACCGCATGTTTTAATTATCTAGTGTTGCTATAACAGAAATACCACGAGTGGATGGCTTCAACAAACAGAAGTTTATTGTCTCACAGTCTAGGAGGCTAGAAGTCTGAGTTCAGGGCATTAGCTCTAGGGGAAGACTTTCTCTGTCGGCTCTGAAGGAAGGTCCTTGTCATTAATCTTCCCCCGGTCTAGGAGCTTCCCAACACAAGGACCCTGGGCCCAAAGGATGTGCTCTGGTCCTGGCACTATTTTCTTGTTGGTATGAGGTCCTTCTGTCTCTCTGCTGGCTTCTCTCTTTTGTATCTCCGAAGAGATTGACTCAAAACACAACCTAATCTTATAGACTGAGTCCTGCCTCATTAACATCATAGAGGCAGGATTTACATCACATATGAAAATCATATCATGTGACAAAATAGTGGACAGTCACACAATACTGGGAACCATGGCCTAGCCAAATTGATAGGTATTTTGGGGGGACACAATTCAATCCATAACACCACAATATGACTTTTGTGGGCTCTGGACACTGTTGCCTTCATGGGCCCCTTCCTTCATTAAAAAAGTAATAATAAAAATTAAAATTATGCTCTATGACTGCATTGGCACAAAGAAGAATATGTTAATATTATATATTAAAATCACTTTTTACCTAAAAGTTTCTTTTTCTTCTCCTGTTGAAAGAAATTAAAACATTTCCCTGTGTACTGCTCAATACCTGGAATACTGGAAGATAGTTCCCCTAGAGATACAATAGGATCACCCCTGAGTTTGACATTTCTTAAATCTGGCTACCCATTAGAATCATCTGAGAAGGTTTTTAAAAAATACAATATACTCATACCAAAACCCCACCCCACTGAATCTGATTAAATTGGTCTTATGTGGGTTCTCAGAGAACTTATATTTTCAAAACCTCCCCAGGTGATTATAACGTGCAGCCCAATGTGAGATTGCTTCCTTATTTTATATTTCTTTAGACATTCAAGGTCTAATTCTTTAGACAATGACTTGCTTATGTAAAATGTCCTAAAAACACTAAATGAGAAGAGGGAGAAGAGGTGGAACAAGAGGAAAAGAATGGAAACAACAACAAAAAAAAAAGATATACACATATTCGGGCTTTGCTCTTTCTACTAAGCAGAGCACTATTTTAATTTTAGCTCTCTTGGGCTCTCTTTTATAAATCAGTGAGCAACAACTTGTCACTTCCATTGTTGTTTTATTTGCTCTTTTATAAGCAAAACCTTTAGGTGGAAGGGGGTTCAAATCACATTTTCTGATGTATTTTTGTACTGACACAGACATACTCTTGTTCTCTGAAGATCTAAGAGCATTGACTCTGAGTCAGGAGCACTGATGTGGCAGTGGTGTGTATATTTATCTCCATCTAGTATGATAGTGAAGACCCGAAGGTAACCAGCAGGATGTTGATGTCTGTTGAAACTTAATGAAATGCTTACAGAAAGACCAGAATATTTGATGCCGGGAATGGCTTCAAATTTGGAGGTCCAGACGGAATTGAGATAAAATCTACGTATCTTGGAGAAAAATAAGACAACCTGAAATCGCACAGGAAAACCAGACACCCCAGATGAGCAAATTATAAGACTCTTTGAGTACAATTGGAAGAACGATATTCTTGAGTTAGCATGGTATTTCTTTTGGGTCAGTCTTTAGAGAGCTAGGAGCACACACTGCAGAAGTGCAGACTAAATCTCTGTTGAAACCTTGTTATTTCTGAAAGTCCTCTAAAACCACGCCAAAGATCTGAGAGAAAGCAGTTTTGTGTCTGAATCAGGTTTGTGAATAAGGGATGACTGATGAAGAAATACCAATAATCAAAAGACAAAGCAAAAAAAATCAGATGAGAAGAAATGATACAAGTTCCTCAAAAAAATAAATAAATAAAAATAAAAATGATGAGCTGTCAAAGGTAAAAAAAAAAAAAAACTTTCCATCTGTTATGGAGAAAAAACAATCATGAAGGATTCAGGGTGGTAAGAGAGATTTTCTTCTCTGTGGTCCTCTTCCTCTTGTTCTTGTCTAGTTGTGTAAAGGGGAAAAAAAAAAAACTCTGAACAGATGTAACCCAAAAGGAATCATGACTATCAAAGTCAACAGTCACAGCTATGCTTCAGCTTGAGTTATAGAAAGAAGTTGACAACTCAAGGCAGAAAAGAAAGTAGCTGCAAAATCATGTAGTACTTGCTAACAAGCATTGAAAAAGGAAATTGTGTCTATTTGTCTGCTTTAAATCTTGTGCTAATTGCTTATCATTTTTTAAAGTATAGTGATTATCATTACCGGTTAATATTTAATTACTTTAATGTCTTATTTTTGTTTTTAAAAACACATCTGTATGTCAAAGTATTAATCTCTCCCCAAGATAACAGTGCTATTTAGAGGAGAAGGCCATAACAAGCCTCTCTGTTACCTATGGTCTAAGAAGAACTCCAGGGTCGTCCAGATTCAGGGAATATATTTTACTTCCCATCCCTCTCCAAATGAGACTTAATATTTACAACTAGTTAAGACAGTTACTCAGGAGTGCTTCAACCCACTTTTCTTGGGCAGAGCAAACTGATGAACATATGCATTTAATTTTATTTTCTCATCTTTGGTAAATTCCCTCAGAATATTTTGTGAGTATCCACCAAATGCTTAGGATAGGTTTTATAGCTTAATTAGATTTTTGGCAACTTTCATAGCAGTGAGATAAATGATGATTACAAAAGACATGTGAACAATAAAGCTTTTAGCTATCTCATGGTTCTATCATTCCTTTTCTCTTTGCTGTCTAACACTCCCTGGGTGATATCATCTAATCCTATGGCTATATCAGCCATATCTGTTAGGATGACACCTAAGCCTATAACTCAAATATCCCTCCAGAGTGCCAGGTCCATAAATCCCACTATCTTTTGGGCATCTCCACGCTCATTTTCCATCAGGAACTTCAAACTTAATGTGTCCAAAACTGAACTCATTATCATTGCCCCAAAACCTTCTCCTCCTCCTCTTATATTTACCATTTTATTTACCAACACCACCATCCACCCAATTGTCCAAGCCAAAAACAGAGGAGTTGTCCTTGACTCACCCCTCTTGTTTCGCACTCAATTCTAATCTGTCAACAAATGTGTTGACTCTAATCTTGGTGTCTCTGTATCTGCCTACTTCTGCTACCTGTTTCAGGCCATGGTCATCCTAGCTGTGAGGACTTCCTAACTGGGTTCCCTACCTACTCATTCTCCAGAGCCACCAGGTCAAGCAGGAGCTCTTAACCATTTTTGTGTGATCAATCCCTTTGGCAGTCTCGTGAAATCTGTGGACCTCTTCTCAGAATAATATTCTTAAATAAATACAGTAGAAACATTGGACTACAAAGGAAACCAACTGGGACTTCAATTGGGACCAAACTCTCCTTGAGAGTTTTTTCTAAATCACAAATGTGATCATGTCATTTCCACAGCACATGAGACACTTTATGATGTGGCTCCTACCAACCATCACCATCGCACTATATGCCATTCTAAGCCTTTTCTTCTCCACCTGACTCCAAGCACACCGAAGTCATACTCAGAGTCATCATACTCTCTCATCTCTGAGCCTTTGCACATGCTGGCTTCCCTAGTAGGAATGACCTTCATTCCTTCTTTGTCTGGCTAACTCTTAAAGTTTTCATTTAATATTCACTTAGCTCAGGTATCACATCATGCACGTAGCTTTCTCTGGAGTTCTAAGTGTGGGCAAATGCTCCTTTATGGGCTCCCACAGTACCCATCATAAAATTTGTCACATTCTATTGTCAGTTTTCTCTGCTGGATCTGTAGATCCTCGATGACAAAGACCATTTCTTATTTATATCCTTTGCAGAGTGCCAGGCACAGAGTAAACCTTCAATAACTGTTTGCTGCATACATAAAATGGATAAATTAGTGAATTCCCTATCTCGCTTGCTCAAAAGAAACTGCACACTCTACAGGCATCACCTGTGAGGTCATGAACTACTTGCTCATTTAAAAGCAGGAGAGAATAAAAGGAAATATTTGAGATTTGTACAAGGGAAAAATAAGTTAGCAAAAAAATACTTATAAAATAACAGCCAGCAATACCTATATTGAATCATTTGGGGAAAAAAAAAAAGTACCACCACCACCATCTCGGGAAGCAGTTAGTCTCACTTACTTCAGCTAGTCTTGAATGTTTGTGGACCACTTCTGTTTTATTCATTGGTGTGAGCTGCTGCAAAACACTTCGGCTATTTGTCAAAGCTCGTGTCAATCGGGCAAATTTTGTCCAACCTTAAAAATAAGAAAAGAAAGTCTCAGTTTTCACATATAATGAATATGGAATCCAATGTTCTTGCTAATATTCACAGGATCTTAGCAATTGCATAGCACATAGAACTAATGAAAAGTATCAGTCTAAAGCATTTGATATCCACATAAACATCATCATGTTTTGAGGTGTAGCTATAAAATAACGCGTAGCTTTTATGCATAACTTTTGTATTTTGCTCATGTCTATTATATAGTCCCTTTGGTCAAGGCAGCTAAAAAAAACAAAAACCAAACCCATTGCCGTGAAGTTGATTCTGACTCATGGCAACCCTGTAGGACAGAGTAGAACTGCCCCATAGAGTTTCCAAGGAACTCCTGGTGGATATGAACTGCCGACTTTTTAGTTAGTAGCCGTAGCACTTAACCACTATGCCGCCAGAGTTTCCCAAGGCAGCTAGCTGTCCTCAAAATTCTGTGCTCCCCTTTGCATTATATAGGCTTGTCACTGGGAAATAGCTGCCCAGCCAGGGAATACCTTTCCTGGCTTTCCTTGCATCTACATGTAACCGTGTCACTAACTCTCACCAACAGAATATAAGGAGAAGTGATGTGCATCTCTTCCATGCCAAGACTTAAGAAGCAAGTGGAACTTCTCCAAACTTTTTTCCCAGTCTACCAGCTGGCTGCAAATGATAAGGCCCTAGAAGATGGGAAAGCCCCTGAATCACTGCGTGGAAGAATGCCATATGCCAGCCAGAAGCAACTACTTTGGACTGTTATCTGTGCAAAGAATATGTTTCTATTGTGGTAAACTGCTGAAAGCTGGGGGTTTATTTGTTACAGTACTTAGTATAACCCTAATTAAACACAGTCTTACTGTATATTTGTGTGCATGTATACACATATAAGATAATAAATCCCAATTTTAACAAATTGGGTCTGTTACATTGGCTCACGTATTACGCGTCTTAGCACACAACTCCAACTTCCTTGTAACACAGCAAAATGTTATCCCTCTCATATTAACAACTGCTGTGATATCTAAAAATTATTTTTTTGGAATATCTAGAATCCTTAATAATGTTTTTTGAAACAGCTGTAACTTCCTGGGGAAAGTAATGTGAATTTAATGGGAAAGAAATTTCTTCTGAGGCCTCAGATTGTCATTATTAAAATCATTTATCTCAAGGACATGTCAAGGAGATGTGAACAAGTAGAACAACATCACTGTATTCTTCTCCTGTCTCAATTTTCCTTTCTCCAGGTATTTTAAAAAAACTCTGAAACCATTAAAGATTCCATTAAGAATTAGCATTTGATAACTTCTATGGTAACACCCTTCACAAGGGTATTTGCCAGCAACCCTTAAAAATGAGAAACTCCTGATTGTCCAAAAGAATGACACTCATGGTAATGATGAAATTTCAGACAATGTGAAAGAAGGGGAAGGAAGAAATACTGGGAAGACAATAGCCTAAGGTCTTTCCAACCATACCATGTAGGTAAGTGATGTCATACTTTACGACTATTGCTAATACTAATTCGGGTTTCATTCGAGCTTTGTATTGCCCCACCAATTCAGCATCCTCTACGGTAGTCAACAACTGAATTGGAGAAGAAACAAACTGGCATCAATTGATAGAAGGTCGTTATTTCTCATTCATTAACAGATGCCATCCTAGTAACTAAAACAAATAAACAAAACAAAAAAAGAAAGCATTAGGCTTTCAGAATTGTATCCAACCCTAAACCTAACTCTGTGCAATGTGCTAAAGAAAAAAACAAGCACCAGACATGGCACCAGCCCTCTAAGCACATAAAAGACACAATAATAAAAGACCAATAGGCAATCTCTATCATCAGACTTTTCTTCTAAGTGCTAGAGCTCTGTATCTAGTTGGTACTGGTCACCTTTACTAAGATGCCCTACAGGCATCTGAAACTCAACATGTCCAAAATTGATCTTATCACCATCCCTTCCCATCCCCCCTGCCAACTTTGTATCTTTTATATATTCCTGGTCTTGTTGAATGGCCCCATGATTTTTCCAGTTGTCCAAGACATGAAATTGACCCTCTTCACTATTAACTTCGCGCACACACACACACACATCTAATCATATCCAGGCCTTATAGATTATAACTTAATCAACAGCTCGCAGATCGAAACTCCTTACCCCACTCATACTATGTTAGACAATATATCATCTTTCTCCTGAGTGAGGTGGCAGCATCCTAAAGATCATACTCTCTGTCTGCTTCCTGACCATATACTCCCTCCAAGCAACTCTTCACATTACTTCTCAAGTTCTTTGGAAAGCACAAATATGACCATGCCTTTCTCCCTTTTCAAACTCTTTAACAGCTCCCGGAGGTAATCAGGATAATTTAACCTCCTCGGTTTGGTATATCTGGCCCCAAGGTTTTGTTCCATATCCATCTCCCATCACTTCTTTATAGATGCCTTGTATTCCAGTCTTACTACAACCAATAGCAAACTAAAAAAGAATAAATTCAAAACCAAAATTAAATCTACTAGTAATTTCTGAGCACCTGATGACGTTTCATGCCTCTGTGTTTTCACATGGTATAATTCTGTCTGCCTGGTATGCCTTTTCCCTATCCTATCTGTCTGGCTAACTCCTGCTCATCCCTATAGATTCAGTTCAAGGATTAACTCCTTCTGGAGGCTTCTAGGGTTGACCTGTAAGACAGAGGTATCCTCCTCTGCACAGTCACAGCATAGGATACATAGCCCACATGGCACTAACAGCACTGTGATACAGTAGTTGATCAGCATGTCCTCACCCTCACTATTGTCTAACTCTCCTTATCCAGCACCTGGCCCAGGGCCTGGCACAAAGGAGGCCATAAATAAATAAAATTTATTTCGAATTTTAAAAACTAGAGTTAACAATAAACCCCATTTTGTTTTATTATCATTAGGTTAGAGTTTGGTTCCGGTTTATTGGGGTGAAAGTGGTGAGGGCATCTTTATATGACAGCAACTGTCTTAGCAATGGGTATCTTAGAATATTACCTAGTGGTCATTTCTCTTTCTTACATTAACTGAGTATCTTAATTGCATTGATTATTTCTAGAAATGTCTCGAACTTACTGAGGTTTATATTTATAAATTAGGTAATGTTGAAGTAATGCTGAATATTGAATTAAAAGGGAAATAAGGTTTATCTAGAAAATATTTTGAAAAATGTAACAGGAGATGCTAAAGGAATAAATGGAATGAATGACACATGGAAGAGTACAAATCATCAAATGGCACGTGTTCTCTCATTTCCTAGGATCATGCAGGGAAGTAAACGTGTGACAAAGCAGAAATATGACAACGAAAGCTTATCAACCTCTGATTTTCTATTTGAAGCGTTGTGAGTACACTACTGGGTTTCTTAATGAGGAAGCAATAGTTCCTAATTTATATATAAAAACAAAGCTTGTTCAAATATGTCTCTTGGTGTATCTTAATTTACACATGAAGTCAGTATGATCAAGGAATATTTCTTCCCTTATTCTAGGTTCCTAAAAGATGACAAAAAATTAAAAACAATGAAAATAAAACACATGTATTTTTCTTCATGGGAAAATATAGGACTATCATTGATTAAATACAGGAAGAAACTGAGAGAAAATGTAGTATTAACTCTTTGTTCTAAAAGTATTTTCACACAGCATTTTCTGAGTGAAACTACCCTTAAACATAAGCGAAAATGGAACTTATTACGTGATATGACTTTTAGAGGACAGATCATATTCTTTCTATCCCTGGTTGTCTAGTACCACAATTGGCACATAGTGGCCACTACATACGTTTTTGTTGAATGAATGAATGACTAAATAAGTAAAAACACTGAACAGGAATTAACATTATATGTAGGTAAAATTTAAATATAAAGAGATAAATACATTCAGCTGTTAGCAAGTGTTAGTATAACTCACCTATCCCATGAAGGAAGGGCTTTGGGTAGAAAAGGTGTGATAGTGGAGACTGAGGAGGGAATGTTAGACATGCTGAGGACTGTAATTCTGCCCATTGAAGGAGAATTTGAAAATTGCTAGCAGGAAAAGAAAAGTAGTGGTGGCAAATGTTGAAATGACTCAGAAATACTGGGAGAGGGAAATTTAGGAGGAAAGATTTGGAAAGGATTTTTTTCTTCCTAGAGAAAGCAAAGTTAAAAGTAATTGTCAATTTGAGTAACCTTTAAGGAGCTTTGATATCAAAATGTTCTGGAAGCTGGAGAACCAATACAAAGCCAAGCAATTTTTATTTCACATTTAAATCAACTGGAGTACTCAAAGATGAGCTCTCAGAGCTTCTCAGGAATCTTATTTGTCTCTGTCAGGGCCTTCTGGTAGTCCCTGGTTCTAACAATTAGCATTTTTCTCAAGACCACTGTACTATCCCTCTCTCCTCGCTTTCAGCAGATTACCTTGCCTCGCCCTTCCCTGAAAAAACAAGTCATCGGGAAAATAACCTTCAACTTCCCTTCTCTCCCCCTCACCTCTAGACCTACCCACAAAGGCATCTGGCTCCTGTCTCAAACTCAGTCATTTCAGAGAAATGAACATTTGCTCTTTCCTGAACACACATACGTTCTCTTGATAACATCTAGTGGCTTCCGGAATTTCCCTATCACTAACAATGCCGCATTGAATTTCCTTATGCCTATCCCTTTGAAATCATCTGTGTTCTTAGCTAAATTAGTTCATTTGATTTCTTGCCAACCCCCACTATACAAACTTTGAAGACGTTGAGCAGCCTCGCTGTCTAGATCAGAGAAAAAAGACACATCAGCAGTTCTAACTTTTCCCAGTGATACATTTACTGATCTCACCTTTACAGAGACCTAACTGGTGTGACTGATTATTCAGCACAGTTCACTGACGCTACTTAGATGTGGTCGATACGAGGTAATGTGCATAGACAGCTGAATATGAAGAGCCTAATACTTGCTCTGTAAGTTGTTCATGGCATTACAAAACATTTGTTCTCCTAAAAGCTCAGGA